GATCTAAGATACTTCGACTTCAGCTACGCTATTCACATAGCTGAAGTTGTGTATCTTAGATCGATCCCCCCCCCCAGTGTAGACCAGCCCAGAGATTCTGTGCAGCACTGTGGCTCAGAGGGCTGCTCAGGGAGACTGTTATAATTTAGGCCTCTGAGACTGTCTGCATTATGCCAGGGGCTGTGGAGCAGCCCAGGATTGAGAGGGCGCAAAAGAGGTTTAAAGCTACCTCAGACCCACCTGGGTTGTGAATATTGTGCTGTGTCTCTTAGAGGAGCAGTGCAGAATCTCACCCAAAATGTCTAAAAGAGCTTTGAGACAGCTTATGGATGAAAAGTGTTCTTTAAGTGCTAGGTATCATTATTATTAAAAGAAAATTATAACAAACAAATTGCAAAGTGGCAAACATTTTAACTGAATGGAAGGATCATCTGTACTGATAGATTCTGTGCTACAAGAAGACAAATTAGCAGGTAATAGCAAAATTGTCCTTTTATTCATACCTAAAAATCTATCAGTCTGGAGGGAGAGGTTGTTGGGAATTAGCAAGCAAAATGGGATGAAGAGAGGGAAAGATAAGGAAGGAAACAAGATTTCATAGCAGACTGCTGAACTTGGTGACTAAAAACCCAATCAAACAAGGAAACAATATCCACCTTGTAATTCTTTGTAAATGAATGGATCAATGCCCAGGTCATTGCTCTTCAAATTTTGTCACAGACACTCTATTTCTCTCTTCCCATTGATCTTTTGAGGGGGTCAACAACCATGTGGACAAGGGTGATCCAGTGGATATTGTGTACTTGGACTTTCAGGAAGCCTTTGACAAGGTCCCTCACCAAAGGCTCTTAAGCAATCAGTCATGGGATAAGAGAGAAGGTCCTCTCACGGATCAGTAACTGGTTAAAAGATAGAAAACAAAGGGTAGGAATACATTATCAGTTTTCACAATGGAGAGGAGTAAATAGCAGTGTCCTCCAGAGTGCTGAACTGGAACCAGTTTTGTTCAAAATATTCATAAATGATCTGGAAAAAGGAGTAAACAGTGAAATGGCAAAATTTGCAAAGGAGAGAAAATTCAAGGTAGTTAAGTCCAAAGCAGACTGTAAAGAGTTACAAAGAGATCTCACAAAACCGGGTTACTTGTCAACAAAATGACAGATTCGATGTTGATACATGCAAATAATGCACATTGGAAAACATAACCCCAACTACACATACAAAATGATGTGGCTTAAATTAGCTATTACAACTGAAGAAAGAGGTCTTGCAGTCATTGTGATAGTTCTCTGAAAACATCTGCTTAATGTACAGCGGCAGTCAAAAAAGCTAACAGAATGTTAGGAACCATTAGGAAAGGGATAGATAAGAAAGAAAATACCATAATGTCACAATATAAATCCATGGTATGCCCACACCTTGAATACTGCTTGCAGTTCTGGTCGCCCCATCTAAAAATGTATATATTAGAATTGGAAAAGGTACCGAGAAGTGCAACAAAAATGATTAGGGGATGGAACAGCTTCCAGATGAGAAGAGATTAAAAAAGCTGGGACGGTTCATCTTGGAAAAGAGACAACTAAAGAGGGATATGATAGAGGTCTATAAAATCCTAAATGGCATGGAGAAAGTTAATAAGGAAATGTTATTTACCCCTTCACATAATACAAAAACCAGGGGTCACCCAATGAAATTAATAGGCAGCAGGCTTAAAAGAAACAAAAGGAAATACTACTTCACACAATGCACAGTCAATCTGTGGAACTCATTGTCAGGGGATGTTGTGAAGGCCAAAATTATAACTGGGTTCAGAAAAGAATTAGATAAGTTCATGGAGATAGGTCCATCAATGGCTATTAGCCTAGATGGTCAGAGATGCAACCCCATATTCTGTGTGCCCGAAGTCTCTGACTGCCAGAAGCTGCGAGTGGACAACCAGGTATGGATCACTCAATAAACTGCTATGTTATGTTCATTCTCTTCAAAGCATCTGGTATTTGCCACTGTTGGAAGACAGGATATTGGACTAGATGGACCACAGGTCTGACCTAGTATGGCCATCCTTATGTTCTTATCCTTATCTGCTTTTCTTTGACAATAAGCTGCTCTAACCAATTTGGATACGGTTGCTTTATATACTCTGTTGCCTTTTTTTTTAACCGTATACACAGGAAATAAAATATCTTATTTTCAAAAGGCTTCCATCATTTCTAGATTATATTTTATGGCCCTTCTCACATCCAGAAAGTGAAACTTCAATGTCCTTAGGATGAGAAAGGCTTAGGTGAATAATGGGATAATAAGTGAATAGTGAATAATATGAAAAGATAAGATTTTTTTAGGGATAAACTCTGGGGCTATGAAGAAGACTATCTTATTAAGAAAATAAAGAAACCGTTCCTGAATTGAAATTGTTTCTAGAGTTCATATTCTCTCTGAAAATGTGACTTTCATTGAAAAGGGAAAAAACCCAGCAACTTTAGACAGCCGTTCAAATGGAAGCTCCATCAATGTAGGGAGAAGTAAATTTAAGTTCCAATAAGCCATAAGATATTTAATTGATGGTTGAAACTTTGCAATGGCCTTGATACATCTTGAGCTGTGAGGGTGAATTGCTACACTGTCTGCATCAAGCAAGTTTGAGAGCCTCAGATGCTGAAGTCTGTGCAAAGAGATAGTTGATTGTAGATTCTGGACATAAATTAATACCTTGATTTGATCCATTAGTCAAAAAGAATTGCTGAACTGAAGGAGGTTCAGGCCTTAAAGTTCCACATTGCTAATTTTAATTTCTCTGGGTTGAGACAGATCAGTAGGTCCCTTGGAGTTGGAAGCATACATGGGAAATGAAGAAACATCTCTATGACGTGATGGACCAGTCATATGAGAATACCTGTACAGTAACTCCTTGCTTAAGGTTGTAGTTATGTTCCTGAAAAATGCAATGTTAAGCAAAACAATGTTAAGTGAATCCAATTTCCCCATAAGAATTAATGTAAATGGGGGGGTTAGGTTTCAGGGAAATTTTTTCACCAGACAAAAGACATATATATATATACACACACATACACAGTATAAGTTTTAAACAAACAATTTAATACTGTACACAGCAATGATGATTGTGAAACTTAGTTGAGGTGGTGAAGTCAGAGGGTGGAAGGGGATGGGATATTTCCCAGGGAATGCCTCACTGCTAAATGATGAACTAGAACAGCTGAGCCCTCAAGGGTTAACACATTGTTGTTAATGTAGCCTCACACTCTATAAGGCAGCACAAATGGAGGTAGGGGAGACAGCATGGCAGACAGAGAGACACACCCTGTGCATGAGAAAGAGAGAGAGAGAGAGAGAGAGAGATGCGCATTGCCCCTTTAAGTATGCTGACCCCACTCTATGTACATTGCCTTTTTAAGTAGATCAGCAAGATGAGACAGCCCCTGCTGCCAGCAAGCGTCCTCTGTCCTAAGCTCTGTCGTGTTTCCCCCGTGCTCTATGGAGATGGGGAAAGCGGGCAGCAGGAGCAGGGGGGAGAGGGACACCCTGACATTAGCCCCCCTCTTCCCCCCTCCACCCCATACAGCAAGCAGGAGGCTCCCGGGAGCAGCTCCAAGGCACAGGGCAGGAGCAGCACATAGCGGGGGCTGGGGCAGCTGAACTCCCTGGCAGTTGATAGCCTGCTGGGAGGCTGTTGCACAG